AGTACCTCCCTCCCTAGGTTACTACAAGGATATTATTACAAGGAGGTAATATTTGCAAAGTACTTTGTAAACCTTAAAAGTGCTAAACAAGTTATTAGCAGCAACATAATGTGGGGGGGGTGTCTGTGGATAGATTTCAAGGGTTCTGTGAACTCCAATGAGAATACATCTTTATTTTCACTGATCTCTAATTGAAATGGAAATTTTCCATCAATCATTTAAAAATATTATTTAGAAAAGAAATGAAGAGGCTTCCCCAGAGACGGCCAAAAGGGTCTACCACACACACACACACACACACACACACACACACACACAATCCTGATGTAGAGGATAGAAAGTCAACCTTGAAGGCAAGGTCTCAGTGACCCCAAGCAACCCTCTAAGATACCCTGATAGTGGAAGAACAGATGCCAGTCTATGGTGGGAGAGGAAGTTTTTTCACTGAAAGTTCCTTGCACTAATGAAATCAAAGGTCCATTCCTTTAAAAAAAAAAAATCCTCTTTACATAAATCCTACTCCAGTGCTTGATATGACCTGAAGATGATCCTGGGTTCTTAGGGGTTGTACCAAGTTGTGCCACAAGCTCTGACAAGGTTGTACTAGACTAGAAAGGCTTTGGGCATCGGACCAGCACTGGCTGTCCGAGGAATAGCTGGGCAAGTAGAGTGGGGGTCACCATCTGGAGGCCGGCCACCCAGAGATGAATTGTATCTGGTTAGTAGACAAAATTACAGAAGAGCCGGCATTCCTCTATGGCACCTTTATGCTCCTATAGGTACAGCTCCTATAGATACAGAGCTATTTACAGTTGAGGAAGCATAATAAAATGGGCTGGAGCAGGGGTTCTTAACTTCACTTGTTCCAGGTTCCCTTTGGGAGCTCGGTGAAGCCTAGGGAACTTTTCTCACTATTATGTTTCTAAAATAAAACATGGAGAATTACAGAGGAAATCAAATCTAATGAAATAAAGTTTTAAAAAGTTTTAAATAAATTCATGGATCCTTTGAAATCTATCCACAGAGCCATGGAGCCTAGCTTACAACCCCCCAGGTTAGAAGTTACTAAAAGTCAGCCAGTTCTTAGACCTTGTAGGAATTTTAAATCCTGACATTTTGGAAGCAACCACCAGCAAGGTCACAGACTTTTAGAGGAACTGAATCCCAGAGACACTGACTAATTCTTGTTATGATGAAATTAGAAAGAACCGCGGCTCAGCAGAGGGACGGTTGACCTGCCTCTTTGTCAGACTTGCTTTCATCGTGTCCTGATGTACATGTATGTTCATGTATCTGAAGATAAGAAGCACCATGTTACAGGCCATGATGTCCCGCTGCCGTGCCGAGCTTTTGATGACTGTAGGCAAACACAGCGAGGACAGTTTGGAGCTTGGGTCTGAACCAATACCCATGGCAGAAAATAAAGAGATGGAGAAATTCTATGAAAAACTCAACAAGATCCTCCATACTTAGTCAACCCAGACCTTGATATTCAATGACTTCAACCTGAGAATGAGCACAGTGGACAATAGTAAAAATAATGTTGGAAAATATGCACTGGGGTCAAAAAATGAAAGAAGCCAGAAGCAGGTAAAATCTGGAGAAGCTTTACACCTGAAGAATATTCATGAATACTTTCTTCATTTGATGATTCAGAATTTGCTAAGCTATAGACAGGATAAATGAGGGAATAGTATCAGAAGGATGATACTACGTTTAAGGAGGACTGGGAAAGGCATCTTGCGGAAGGTGGGATACTAGTCATTTAGAACCAGCTGTTAATGAGCAGTCTTATCAGCAAAAGTCTAAGTAAACATCAAATTCCAAGAAATGAGGAGATGATGTGAACAATTATAACAGCTCCAACCCAAAATGTTTAAACACTCGGAAAAATGGGAAATGGACAAAAGACGTTGATTTTGTCACTGCCTCTTATGGGAATTTAGACAATGCAAGAGTCATTCCATTATAGAGAAATATGGAAGATTCTAAGCCCTATCAACTCACACAACAGTGAAAAGCTGTTGAAGAAAAAACCCACCTGCTAAAGCTTGGCATGAGATCTAGCTAAGCCAGCTAAGAGGTGGAGACTAAGCCCTTTCTTTTACAAATGAGGAGACTGTGACCCAGAAAGGTTGTTTGGTTTGCCCAGGGTCACAAAGAGTCAGGATTTGACCCACCCCCTGCCCTTTTCTTTCAGATTCAGGCTCTCACAATGCTTCCTGTCAATCCAAGAGTGTTTGTGGATGAAACGAAAAGGACGGCTACCAGACAGGAAATGGAACCATTCTTCCAGCAATAAATAGCATGCGACATCGTTGTGGATATGCGAGAGTAGAAAAAGGAAGTGGGCTGGCTGGGTAGAAAGATGGAGAGACAAGATAGAAACAGCGGGAGGCTCATGGCTATGCCTGATGTGTTAAGAAAACCCAGGGAAGAATCACACAAAATGGGTATGGAAGGATGGAAATTTGCAACATTGGAGGGATCGCTCATGGACTGAAATGATAGAGTCATCGAAGTATATCAGAAGGAACGTAGGATTCTAACCCCTTTATTTTACAGATGAGGAAACCGAGGCTCAGGGAGATCAGTGGGATTTCATAGAATCCTATATTTGGAAGGGACCTCAGAGGCCCTTTTGTCCAACCCCCTCATTTACAAATGAGGAAACTGAGGCCAAGGGATACCAAGTGACTTGCCCAAGATCACACAGCATTAATGTCAAAGAAACCAAGATCCTCTGGTTCTGGGACTAGCATTCACTTTTCACAACTTTTGCCATCCTCTCTTTCCTGTAGTGACGATGAATTCAATATGGAGAACCAGCGCAGTGGTCTGCTTGTCTTAAGGGCCTGCAAGAATGAATCGGTCCCATCTGGATGCTCATATCCCCCACTCTGTCCATGCATATCAAAGTAGCCATTGTTACCCATCCCATAAAAAATGAATTAACAAAGAAGGTCTTTCATGTCCTTCATGAGACAAATATTCTGTACCTGCTAGGAGAAGAGCCTTCGCTGCTGGGTTTTTCAAATGTGTCATTTACTATGTGCTCTTGGATGGGAGGATGTGTACGGGCTAATACAGGCAGAAACAGGCAGAACCAGGAGGTCAGTATAGAGCCTGCCTACGATAACGTAAATGAAGGCAGGCTGAATAACTGTCATGATCAGTCTCAGTCTCAGAGGACAGAGGGTGTTCTCCCAGGAGGGAGGTGGGAGACTAATGATGCAGAACAGGACATCTAACCTCAAACACCAGGCCTGTATTAGTTGGCTTGGTTTAATATGAGGGATGGTTCAACGGAGGGAGAAGAGGATGATGCGTTGGTAAGTAACTGGGATGTAAATGCAAAAGGAATCATAAAACTTAAAAAAAAACAAAGTTGTTTGTTCTTTTCTCAGTGAGCTAAGACAGTGAATGGGAAGATCCCTTTCCTTGATGTCAAGGAGAATTATGACACGGCTTCTCCTTTTTCCATGGCAATGACACTCTGCATCCTCAGGAACGTCCCCGCCGTGGGATGCTGGGACACCAGTTACAAACAATACCTTGTGGCTTATATTGGCAGCATTCTGGGATGGGAAGAAGGCTGGATTTGGAATCAGAAAATTTAGGTTTGACATCTAGCTTTCCTTCTTCCGACCTGTGTCACCTCAGGCAAAACATTTCATTTCTCTGGGCCTCGGTTTCCCTATCTGTAAAATGATGGGGTTGGACTACCTGATCTCTGAGGTCCCTTCTGGCTCTATATTTATGGTCACGTCATTCTAAATCATTTCCCTTGTCTGGGCCTCAGTTTCCCCATCAGTAAAATGAGGGGGGTAGGCTAGGTGACTGAGGACCCTTTTAGTTCTAGAGCTGGAATCTTAGGGTCCTATAACTAGATGACATCTAAAGTCTCTTCTGCCCTTAAATCTACCCCCCCACGAGCTTCCTTTCAGTCAAGTCGGGTCAACAAGCATTTTTAAAGAACCCACTTTGTGCCAAGGCCCTGTGCTGAGTTCTGGGAATACAAAGAAAGGCGGAAGACAGTCCCTGCTCTCAAGCAGCTCAGACTCCACTGAGGGAGAACATGCAATCAGTAAATGCAGGGTCAAGAGGTATCAACAGAGGGAAGGCAGAGCTGAAAAGGGATGGGAGAGGCTTCCTTTAGAAGGTGGGATTTCAGCTGGCCCCTGAGGGAAGCCCAGAGGAGAAGAGGATGAGGGAGAGGATTCTAGGCACAGGGCGCAGCAGGTGAAAATGAGGGCTATCCTTCAGATGGAGATAAACAAGGTTAATAGATAAGACTAATAATTCAATGGGACTTAAAGATTCAGCAGCCTCTTTTTTTCTGGGTCCTTGAAATTACCCCTTCTCCCTTCTCTCCCCCCAATCCTCCCCAAGCCCCTCAATTATAGGATCCTAAATCTACGTTTGTAAGGAACAACAAAGGCCATCCAGTTCAACAAAGTCATTTTACAAATGAGGACACTCAGACCCAGGCAAGGTAAAGTGACAGATAGAGAGCATCAGAGTCGGGATTTGAACCCAGGCTTGGTGAATCCAAAGTCAGTCGGTGCTCTTTTCACTGTAGCACAGAGCATCCTCAGCAATTCCTGTTATAACTCGAAAAAAGAAGGGACTCTGTTTTACATCCTGTTTCTCTAACGTACTGTTACAAAGAACAAAGATAACAATGGTGCCGAATTAAAAACAAACCCAACCGAACTCTGCAAGACCTGGGAGTTTCAATTCATTTCATCTTCCTCTACAACAACTACACTTGGCTTTGCCTTCCATCAAAATGTGTGCCTAAAATGGTGCTTTTTCTATGACTTAGTCTGCAAAAAGCCTTTAGGTTCACCATCTCTGGGCTTCTCCGTTAGCATCTCCCCTTGGTGATTTTCAAACCGTGGCTACAGCATCCTAGCAATTAGTTTCAACTCTAGCACCAGCAGAAATTCTTTTTCAAACAAATGCCAAACACGACTCTCATTCTGGGTATCATGTACCTGAAATAGTTGCTGGCCGCAGCAAGCACTGCCCGGTGGCAGGAGAATTCCTGAATGTCCACGCACAAGATGACATCGGTCAGGGAATTTTCCAGTCGAAGGTTTTCCAGGCCATTTTGTATTATTCTTGAGAGCTCCGTGTCATCGAATTTCACTTTTTCACCGTTCAAGATTTCCACCAGATCCCCTCTTTTCCTGGAATGGCCCTCGTCCAGAGGAGTAAGGGGTCCTTCTAGGCTTTTTTCCACGGTGTCTCCCATGTTTCAGGGGGCACCATGTCATCCCATCAACACTTGAGTCTGAAAGAGCTCTGATGTTGCACCCAGGTCACACTGTAGGGGCTAAGCAGATTTCCTGTCCAAGGCCCTCTACTTATCAACAGCTGTCACACACACACACATAACAGGAAACCTTGCACTTTCTCATCCTGTTACTACAAATGAGGGCAGCTTCTTTTTTTTTTCTTCTTTCTTTGAAATACCACTGAGTTTAGAAACGACTTCAGACAGACGTACAAGGGGGGGAGCCAAGATGTAAGGGGGAGATTCAGATCACAGATCACATGTATCGTCACAAATTTAAAGCTAGGAGATATCTCAGACATCATTGAATCTAACCTCCTTATTTTACAGCTGAGGAAACTTGTAAGTGCCTTACCTGGGCTCATACAACTAATAATTATCTGACAGGATTTGAATCCAGGCCTTCCTGACCTGGGGCCTCAAGGTGGTAGAGTGGATAGAGCTCGGGGCCTGAAGTCAGGGAGACCTGAATTCAAATCCGGCCTCAGACACTTAATAGCTGTGTGACCCTGGGCAAGTCACTTCACCCTGCTTGCCTCAGTTTCCTCATCTGTAAAATGAGCTGGAGAATGAAATGGCAAACCACTCCAGTATCTCTGCCAGGAAAACCCCAAATGGGGTCACCGAGAATTGGACCGGACTGAAATGACTGAACAGCTTCCTGATTCCAGCTCTTTGTGTCCATTGGACTGGGAGCTCCTTGAGAGCAGGGACTGTCTTTTGCTTTTCTTTATATCCCCAGTGCTTAGCACATAGTAGGTCCTTAATAAATGTTTATTGACTGACTGATTCGGGGAGTTTTCTACCTTAATATGATGATCAACTACCAATTGTAACGGAGGTCTTCGGTCCTGGCCCTAGACTATGTTTTTAATATCTCTAGGTGAGTCCCTGTGCTGATGGGATAATTCTGGGAATCATCATAAGATAGCGGAAAGTCAGAGAGCTTGAAAGAACCACAAAGCCCAATGCTTTCATTTTACAGGTGAGGAAACTGAGGCCCAGAGAGGTTAAGGAACTGGCCCAAGGTCATACAAGCAGTAAGAGGAGTTCAAACCAAAGTTCTCTGACACGGAATCCAGCCCATTTTCCCCTGTATGAGTCTCTGATCCCATGCCCACTCCATACTCCCAGCTGAACAAGCTGAAACAAACCTGAGCTGCCCTGAAACATGAACGATCTCGGCTCCCTCTCGCCCTTGAGACCTGCCGATTATTGTGCCCTTGGCATCCGCCATGGCTGACCTCATCCATCATCTAAGTCATTGCAGCATCTTTGTCTACAGTGAGAAATGCACAGCCCAACTAAGAAACAAGACAGAATGTGGCCTGAATCTTCCCAGTGGGAAAGGGGTCTAAGTATAGTTTGCCTGGACTATTAAGTTCATTGGGTTGGAACTTGCTGTAAACATGGCTGGCCAATGTGATGGGTTCAGTCCCCACATGAGGCAGTAGCTTCATGAGAAGAAAAAATGTTCTCGTGGCTTTAGATCGTCCTTCTAATCCCAGTCCAATGACCAAGGTTTCCATCCTTAAAATAGAAGTGTATCTCCATGGCGTACTCCTAAAAGGTTTATTGGCTCTTCCTAGATTTTAGATAGTTATAACCAGACAGGGGGCACCTTTGACACAATCTATATGAATTTATGCATCACCCTAGGCCTCAGTTTCCCTATCTGTAAAATGATGGGGTTGGACTAGATGACTCTGAGGTCTCTTCCAGTTCCAGATATATGATTTTTATGAAACTTTTTAGGGTTATACATTTCAGGTGTCAGTGCCCACTAGTGGGTACCTCACCTTTGGGATGGTGTGGAATTTGGAGGAGAGAGACCTCAGCCAGATATAATGTCATGACAGCTCTTGGCAGGATATAGACCACAGCTCCATCCATCAATCATCAAGCACTTATTAAGGACCCACTATGTGCCAGGCACTATACTAGGAGCTAAAAAAACAGAAACGAATCAGTGCCTGTCCTCAAGGAGCCTCTATTCTAACGGAGGAGACAGAACAGACATATACAAGTACCTACAAAACATGTCCAAGGCAGATATAAGGTAACCTTGGAGGGGGACCCAGAACAGGCATCCTGCAGTAGATGCTACTTGAGACAAGACTTGAAGGAAACCAGTTGAACTCACCCTGTTCTGGTGTGTGATGTGTCTGGGCTCCATCCATGGCACTAGATCAACACAGACATCCAGGGGCAACCATACTCACCACAAATGACGACCCAAGGAGAGAAAGCCCTATAAAATGTGTAGAGGGCTCCGGTGTAACTTGAGAGAGCAAGTCTATTTCACAAGATTCAATATGGCTGAATCATAAAGCATATGGAAGGGAGTGATGTGCAAGAAGGTTGGGGAAGGGAGAGTGGGGAGGAAGGGAAAAAAATTATTAAGCCACTATGTATCAGACACTGTGCTAAGCACTTTACAAATATCGCATTTGTTCCTCCCAATCATCCTGGGAGATAGATAATATTATGATCCTTATTTTATAGTTGAGGGGACTGAAACAGACAGAAGTTAAGTGACTTGCCCATGGTCACACAGCTAGGAAGGGCCTGAGTCTGGATTTGAACTTGGGTCTTCTTGACTCCCGGACCGGCATTCTATCCACTATGCCACCTACCTAACTGAGACCAAGTTATGAAGAGCTTTCAATGCCCAAAAGAGTTCATATTTGATCTTAAATACAGAAAAGACATGCCCAATCCCATAATTAGGCAAGAAAATTTTCCTCCAGCTTCCCATAGGGACCTATATAATGACTTAAAATACTACACTGTGTGTTGGGCTTGCTAGGAAACAACTCAACTTTCTCCCACCGGAGGACCCCACTTTTCCAGGTGGGAAAGAACTTGGGGGAGAGCCCACCTATCACCCCATCCCTGCACAGTCTGCATGACTCACAGTACCAGCAAGGGGCAAGCCTTGGCCACTTTCTTTCCCTCTCTGGCCCCTTGTTGTCCCCACGTTTGTGCGGCATGTTCACACTCCATCTGTAGGTCTGGTCTGCAGCCAAGCGCCATCTCTATCATATGGAAGCCGACTGTCTTGCACAGTATTCAAGGAGTATTCTGAGCATGGTTGTGGGAGGTGGGGTGTACCTTACTCAGTTCCTCTTAACACATGCCCAGTACACTTACAAGAATGGAGAAACAATGAGAGGTCAAAAGGCTCCCTTCCTCGCTTTCCCTGATATTCCTTTTTTTCACATAATTACTACAAAAAGATACAAAGAGAATCCAGATGTTGATGGCAAGTTTTTGTTTGCACGGAGGACCGCTGTAACCTTGATCTACACTTCAGAAGAAAAAGCAGTCTCCGTGGAGCTGGGTTGAGGGATCTGGGTTAAGCAACAAAAAGGGCTTGTGGGGGAGCAGGGTGGGGGCACAGCGAGGAAGTGAAACAAAAGCTAGGGATATTGGCAGCCAGGCTACATGTGGCATCAGGGGTGTGGTAGAGGTGGAGGGAAAAGGAACCATAGAATGTGTTCTCCTTTCCTCTCTCTGTTTCCCCTTCCCCACTGCCCATCCAATGGCCGCAGACCCTGCCCTGGACCCTCTGCCGACGCTGAGGCAACATGAGAAGGAAAGATCATGGGTGTGGAGGAAGTGGCCTTAATTCAAAATTCAGTTCTATTTAACTAACATGCATTAAGTGTCTAGTTACATAGAAGGCAGTGTGGTAGATTCTGGGGATAAATACAAAGTCAACAATGAAAGTCCCCACCCTCAAGGATCACACAGTCTACACGTGACATGGACATAGGCAAGTAAAGCCCAAGTCATTTGTAGACAGGTGGAGCATTCCCTGGGGGACCTGAGAAGATCTCATGGAAGAAGGACCCTAATGAACCTGAGAGGTTGCAGATGAGTCATTTAGCTTCCCTACGATTCTGGTTCATCTTCTTTAGAGTGGGGGTGGGGTAGGCAAAATTATATTTATATCTATGACCCTTTGAAGTCTTTTAACCTCCCTTGGCCTCAGTTTCCTCGACTCTAAAATAAGGAGGTTGGATTACATGGCCACTGATGAACTCTTCAGTTCTCAAGCTGTGGTCTCAGGTGGAGATGATGACGGAATCCATCAGTCAATCAATGAGCTGTGCTGGGGGAAGGCTTGAGGAATGGCCAGTCATCCAATATGGATGGAGCTCATCGAGCAATGAACCTGAAGGTGGGATTGCTAAATTGCTTTTACACGGGGTGGGGAACCTGTGGCCACATGTGGCCCTCTAGGTCCTCAGGTGTGACCCTTTGACGGAATCCAAACTTCACAGAACAAACCCCCTTAATAAAAGGATTTGCTCTGTAAAACTTGGACTCCGTCAAAAGGCCACACTCAAGGACCTAGAAGGCCACGTGGCCTCGAGGCCACAGATTCCCCAGCCCTGCTCTTGGTGCTCTCTGAAAAATCATAGACGTGGAGGAAGGGCTACAGAGCTATTGCTTCTATTTTCAAAAAGAAGGATAATGCTTCAAATATAAGCTGTTTTGTATAGTGATGAGCTTGACTCCAATTCCTGGAAAAATTCTGGGATGCGTTTTTCAATTTAAATTTTTATTGATACCTTTTTTTGTTAAATCACCTTCATTTCCTATTACAACCCTCCTTCTTCCCTTCCCAGTGGCCCATCCCTTATAATAAAGAATAAAAAAGAGGAAAAAAACAACTAACCAACATGTCAGCCAAGTATGGTTGGTATATGCCATGTTTCACACACATAGTCCCCCATCTCTACTGAAGATGGAGAGAGGTACATTCTTTTTTTTTTTTTTTTTTTTTTTTGCTTTTTGGTGAGGCAGTTGGGGTTAAGTGACTTGCCTACAGTCACATAGACAGGTACATTCTTGTACCTCTTCTTTGGGGGCAAACTTGGACAAGAGAATTTGACATCATTCCAGGATGCATTTGTGCACTCCTTTGGGTTGCCAAGAGTTGTGGAGTCCAAAGTCTGATGGTAAATGAAAGGAGAGGGGGAAGAGAGAGAGTGGAGAGAGAGGGTGGGGAGGGAGGGGAGAGAGGGGGAAGGGGAGAGAAAAAGAAGGAGGGAGGAAGAGAGAAGGGGGAGGGGAGGAGGGAAGG